ATGGGGAAGTTACGTTTTCTCTGATCGATCATAAAACAATCACCAAAACTAATAGAAAGTTTTTTGTACATCACTAAAACCAGCGTGAAAAAAAAAAAAGAAACTAAGCAAAGTACATAGAGTTATTTATCCATTTAAAACGGATAAATGGGAGCCGCTCTCATCTTTTTTCGAGTAAGCCTAAGCAATGGAGGGTGCGGCTTTTACCACGTGAGCGAACATCTATGGGAACCGTGCTACACTTAAGCACCGACTGTTGTATATGCTACTCCCGAGATCAAAAAGCGCCTAAGTGGAGGTTCAAACAAACATACCACGAATTCCGCAGGAGGCTGCGCAGTCCTGCTGCATGTATGGTGCACTACACTGATGCCCATTGCTTATTCTCCAGTGACAGACCTCTGGACCGGCCTTGTCGAGACAATGAACTGTGTACGAAAACGATGTTTCAGTTTGTTGAAAGCCATAATTTGAGATTACAACCTTGGGTAGCTATATTGATCAAATGACGAATACAGTCGACCAGTAGGCCCGGGAATGAAGTCGTTATGTTAGAGAAAACAATCATCGTTGATGTTATGGTGTTGTTAAGTAATGCTTCAATCTGTTGAGTCTATTAAAACCTTGAATGCTTTTTTAATCATGAAAACTCCACCGTTGTAAAGATGGTTCTGCCTAGAAAAATAGTTGAATCTCACTAACATTGGCAGTTTTCACCACTGACTTCAGGAGGAAAGCCCTTGATTTCTTCTTGGAAAGAAAATTAATGCATCTGTATATGTTTACTTAATCGACCACTACTTCTATAGGGCTTCTCGGGGCCAAATGCTTTATAACGATCTTTAAAGATCAGAGTAAGGGTTATCATCACAAGTAAAACATACAGGTGTGGTGGCGTTGTCAGTGAGTGTGAGGTTGAAACCAATAGTAGAACAATGGTGGCCTCGTACAGAAAAAAAGGTCCCAAATTGGTCCTCCTGGGGCCGACAATTTCGATGGGCAGTTAACATTTTTAGTATCAAAACTTAAACATCATCTAAATATGGGGCAAAGAGAAGGAAAGGAAGAACTGTCCACAAAGCTATGTAACAAAGCACTAATCCAAGAGTAACGGTTTTAAACACTAAATACCTATGTCATGAGAAATATTGAAGGTAAGTGGATATGACTTTCAGAAATCTTTTTCTGAAACCATGAACACAAGAGAAGCTGGCTAACCTGAACAGTCCAAGCCCACGTAACCGGGAAGGCACGCGCATGTGCACATAACAGCATCTAGTTTCCCGCCATTTTGACATTCCAAAGGACATTCTAAGTGGATATAAGGAAGCGACGTGAAACTATTAATATGCACTCCCATGTGGGGACTGCAAAAACTATTCAGAGATTTACTCATAAACACATTTACCTCTTACCATCTCTATCATAACAACCTGTCAAAAGAGGTTTGTTTTTTAAGGCATACACGATCTTATGTTTCTTAGTTCAGAATCAGCTTATTGAATCGTAAAGTTGATCCAAAGGACATGTCAATCAATTTAAAAGTATAAAAGAATCAAGCAACAATGTTTCCCTGCGTACCACATAAATTGCACATTTTTGGACATTTCTTGGCCATGATATCCTTAAAACCTGTACACATCGCCAAAGTGAGAGATCTGCCACATTCCGCGTCAAAATCATCGCAATCCCCTGCAAATAATGAAGTATATTTTGGAAATAGCAGGTTCAATTTCTACCAGGTCTTTGCATTTAACTGGGGAAGTGAGCAAACGCGCTCTGTCGAGAGAAAGGGCAGAATTTCCCAAACCAAGTTTGATCCAAATCTTTCGTTTGTGCGACCGAGATAATAAAATGATGATAAATATTATCGCACCAGTAATTGTGAGCGGAAGAAAAATAATAAGGTGAGAGAGCTGTTTACACAAGGAGATGAAATTCATGCTAACTTAGAGAACTGGTTTAAATGGTTTACTATGTGCTTAAAACTTACTGCACAGATTTTTGTAGCAAAATCCTTTCCCAGAGGCACATTTGGAACAGGGCTTTCCAATTTCGTAAGGAAATTCATCGATAAGGTTACCTCTGCAAGTGCAATGAGAGTCAGCTAGTTTAAACTCATTACATGTTTTACAGAGATATTCTTTATTTAAAAATTGAGGATAAGCTCAGAGGGCATAGTTAAAAAATGCCACAAAATACCGCTGTGTATTTAAGAAATCAAGTACCTGTTCGAACACGGGTTACGTGACGATGGTGGATACCCCATAGTAGCTTTAAATATCGATGTAAAACTCACATTTTATCAAGAGATTAAGAGAGGTAATCGTGGAAAGATGGAATAATACAATCAGAAAAAAGGTGGTGAAACAAGAGAATAACTGTACCAGAGGAATATTTGTAGGAAGAATAAGGTAAAGGAAAACAGTACGGCGCAAGTTTTAGGAGTTGAAGTGCAGCATCAAGGAGAGAAGTAAGGGAGACACTTAAACTTTTTGCAGCCCTCAGATCGAATTTCATTCAATCCTTTCACACCTTAGAGTGACTAACATCCAATTTCTACTCTCAATATCACCCCTTAAACAAACATTAAGATCACAAGAACGAATGAAATGATCACCAACTAAATAAGCTCTTGATTGTTAAAAAAATTTTCCTTATTAAGAAATAAGTGGAGGACAGTATGGAGAATATACATAACGATGTTAGGGTGTAGAGGTTTTTAAAAAAATCAGTTCTTATGATTAACAAGTCATCACATGGAGTCACGGTTTTCATCAAAAGTAGGGAAACACTTTCACAAAATAACAGCGATACAATTTATTTGAAAAAGATTCTTCTTCAATTTCCTAAAAATCCTTACCCGGGCGCATAGTCACATACAACTTCAGTGCCGCCTCTGACCCAAGGGTGGGGTACCCCCGCTGATTTCTCACAAAATGAGACACCACATCCCAAGAATCTGGTCGTTGCCCAAACAAGCTGTAAAAAAAGACATTATCACATCCAAAGAAAAAGTTTAAAAGCTGCAATCCAAGACAAAAAGTATTTGACACGTTGTGTTTGAATAGACCTTTTGATGCGTAGAATAACACAACTTTATTTTCTCCTCGGTCTTCTTCGGGCACATTTTTTCTTAAACGGACCTTCCGCCTGATAATTAACGCACATATACTACGGTATAAGAAGGTACCAGAAGTAATAGTCTACCCCGCCTTCTTGACCCCTTTTATAAATGGCAGGCATGATCATTATTTTTTCATGCGTATGTAAATAGGCCTTCTCAAGCTCGCTTTTAAGTGATATTCAATTTTTTTTCCACACGTTGACGCGGCCAGGAGGGCTAATTTACCAGTACAAAAACGAAAATAGTGATAACAACAACTATAAGAATCATAATAATAATAATAATAATAATAACAATTAGGCAAGCAATTTATGAGAATTTTCCACTGAAAAATTATTTCAAACTTCTAGAGAGTATCAGATGTTGTTTAGATATTTCAAGCGGTTCTAAAAGCTAAAAAGAAAAATCTGCGTGATATTGCTGCATGCTTACACTATAGGCTGATTAATTCCAATTTGCCTGTTTCTTTTTTTCTTTTTTCTATGACAAAGTTATTGGAATTAAGTGTATGTTTAACATTAACCATACGTATCATTAAAAAACAACTTTGCCTTTTCTCGAAGTGATCATTTACACTGGTTAATGACTTTCAAAAGAGAGCTTAGTATAAAATCAATCCTTTAGTGGAGACAACGAGTCTGCAGCGGTTCACCTGCGAAAACAAGGCCCTGTTGAAAACAAACTAGCCCAAGAATACTAGACTTAATTTTGCTATGATTGAATAGCAGTCCACTTTTAGAAAACAGAATAAAATAATGCAGGTGATCGGTAAAAGGTACATGCAAATTATATTTTAAAAAATTCAGGCGAAATTCTCTGGTAGAAAGACTTCTGAATTTGAAACTATAATAAAATTCTGATGGTTCCCATGTAAAATTTGTATTTAATTATAAATTTTAGTTTATTAAGAAGAGATTCTTGAAGAAAAACTTCTCTGTGAAAAGCTTTTGACAGATGCAAAAAATTCTTATAATTGACACACGAAATGGAAAAGCGTTTACAAAATAATAAGAAATAGTTAGGACTAAAAAACGAATTTGGGAATTTCGCCTTTTTTCGCAACACGTGCATTAATTGGCGGGTAATGAGAATAAAAAATACCATCACCCAGGCGTATTTAATCATCAAGATTGATTTCCATATTTTCATGGCTAATGTGAAAAATAAAACCGGCAGTGACAAAACGACCCGATGACAATCCTATTTTAAGGTGGTTAAATAGTGGATGCGATATTCTCGAACAAAAACGAAGTGGTATAAGCAATGCAACTGTCTCAACATTGTAACGGAAAAATAAATGCGTCCAGTTGAGCACAAGCTACAGAAATATAAAGAAGAAGATGAGAGGATCATTTCTAAAACTGTCTCCAACTAGAAGACGTGTTTTAAGATGGCGATGGCCATACACGTCAAACACGACTGCCTTTTTGTTCGCACTCATACTTCAACTATATACTACCAAACGACAACGTATTTTTTTTCGCACATACCAAAATTGGCATAGAAAAGGTGGATTAGGACACAGCTCTTCATATTCCAAAGGACGTGTTGTAAGATGGCGATGGTTGGAGTGGGAATCTTTCATTCGAATGGAAAAGAAAACCATGCAACGAAATTATTCCGTCTTAGAAAAAAAAATCATCATCCATTTATTTTCATGACTAATGTAAAAAATAAAACCGGCAGCGACAAAACGACCCGACGCTAACAAAAAAGAATGACGTCATTAAGGAGAGTCGGCCTCCTTGATTTTTCAAACAACTAAGAAGGAGCGACGTATTTCCTCAAAAGTATTTTGTTATTTCGCAACACAGTTCATTTCCCCTCGGGTGTAAGAGAGGGAGGGCCAGTAAAAAATTCTCGTAATCGCAAGGCGAAGATGTCTTCGCGGCTAAATGACGCCGAATACTTTGGTTTGGGCGCGAGTATGGTCGTGCTTTTGATCGTTGGTTGCGTGTTTCAAGCGTTCACGCTGTTCGTTTTGACGCGGCCGGCTTTTAAGCAATTCGATCTGTCGCCATATTTTCTCAACATCATCATCGCGAACAGTGTTGTGATATTGGTTGATTTTCCACCGATCATCGCGTCTGCTTGGGCACAGAGAAACATGCTTGGAGAGATATATTGTCAGGTGAGAGCTACGCGTAAGTTCACTTCTTGCTAAAGGAAAAACGACCGAAAAATATTTAGTATATGAAATATATTGAAAAGCATACTAAACTAAGAAATAATTATACAAGGAAAAAAAAATCTAAGTTTTGTCTATGTCCTTAAAACCTGGAACCATTTGGAAATTTTTTGCCCATATAATGCACGCTCATTTTCCACTGATTAAAATTGATAGGTTGATATTTTGCAATTCACTCATTTTCCTTGCCCTTAAATCCTTTCTTTTTTCATTCTTTGGTGTTGATGTTCATGGAATAGTTGTTGAAGGAAGGCCCAAGAAACTGCGCTTTTGCGTGGGTTTGAAATTTCCTTCTCTAAGTCTTATAATAGGAAACATCGAATTCAGAAACGTTTGTGTGATTACGAGCCTGAAAGTGGTGAAAGCAAAAAATTCAGTAGATTGTTTTGTCAACTAGATACCGAAAAAGGGACCTGTTGTAGGATGACCGCCATGGAAGTTTATGAGGCAAGCGGTTGACTAATCGTCAGGATTTCCTGGTCAATACAACATTGTAACTATAAATAACACTAAACTTAATCCACAGCAAAGAATCGCTCATTTGAGCGACACATTTGTTTCTGCCGTACATGTGGCCTTGGTATGAAGTAAGTCGAAATATCGAGAGACTTCATATGATTTTAACTACTCAATCCTGATATAAAATGAAGTCTTCTCCACAAAAAACGTCCAAGTTAGAAAAATGGAAAATAATTTTCGAATAACTACTAAAATATGAAAAATATAAAAAAATTCAGGCCGTTACGGGATTTGAACTCATGACCCTTACGATACCAGTGCAACACTCTACCAGCTGAGGTAACAAGCCAACTGGAAGCCTACTGCGAAAATCGCTTCTATATTCATTTCTTTATCTGTAGTTCACATATATGATTTTCATATATTTACAGTCATTTATGTAATGGTAAACCGTATGCTGCCACATGTAAAAATAACTTGAAATCTTTACACGGAGCAAATGTCCACCTAGTTGATTCGTAAGACTTTTTTTACGAAGGAGTTCACGTCAATGAGACCGCCTGGTTAAAAGCTGGCTGTGGTTGGACAGTTCCGGTGAAGTGGGAGTGGGGAAGGGGTTGTTACTTAAAAGTTACCGCTCGCAAATTGGAGAAGTGACTGGATATCGGAAGTAATTTCATGGCCAGCTAGAAAAAATAAGTAAGCAAGTATTACACCAAAATGACGATTTTTATTCCAAGGAGTAAGAACGAAGAGGGTTCTTGTCAGTTGCTTCATGTCTGGACGGTTGAGTTGATTGTGTTGTCTGATCGTCCGGATTTAGGGTGACTGACATTTCGACAAGCTTAGCGGAATTCATCGTCAGAGTAGCATGGAGAGGGGGTTGGGGGGGCGGGGGTTTGAGGTATCAGCCAACTGTCCCTTTTAATACTTCATTCAGCATGACTGTTCTTTTCAATTGCAGATCGTAGGTTTCTTGTCGTGGGTCGGATGTATCTCAACCATAGCTACATTCGTATTGACTCTCCTCAAAACTCATCGTAAGTTAAGAGACGACGCCATGGAATTTGAGATAGCATTTGCCGAGCGCTATGCGTGGGAACGTCACAATATCATTAAGACCCTGACAGGAACCTGGTTGTACGGTATCGCAGTGATGTTTCCTCCGATGGTGACATGGGGATCATTCAATTTTGAATCAGGCGATACAGTGTGTGCTCCGAATTGGCAGGAAGAATCCTCGGCCGGACGCATCTATATGGTTCTATTAATCCTTTTAGTATTCGTAATTCCTCTAGGTTTTTCCGCGGCCTACTTTGGCAAAATATACAACAAGTTATTGCAAGATAGAGGGGATGACGGAATGTCATTGAGAGCAAGGGAGAAGGCGAGGAAAGCGGTCGTTATAATTTGGATCGGCGTGGCAATCTTTATGGTCAGCTGGATGCCCTACTGTGTATGTGCCATGATGGCTTTGTTTGGAGGCTCGAAGACGTTTAATCCGGAGATTTCGTTTATTCCTGGCGTTGTCGCTAAAGCCAGTGCTGTGTTCAACCCTTTATTCTGCTTGCTAGCAAGCACACGGTAAGAAGGGTAAGAATCGTGGAACTTGCAAAATTAATATCCATAAATATTCTTTTTGTATCATTACACAATTTTTTTGCTCCGTCTCCCTTTAACTTTACATCTTTAGTTACTTGTTGCTAACTTCATTACTCACCAGCAAATTTAAGATGAATATATTTGCTATTAATTAAAGTGTCTACTCGTGATAATATCACGAATTGCACTGAATCGAATGAATCCTCGTGATCAAAACTCTCTCTTTTTCTGTATCTCATTATCTAAAAAAACCGCTTATCTCTCACCAACCCTCTTCTTTTCTCGGTTATTAATCTTGGCTTATTTCCTATTACTGAACGTCATGGTTCAATTATGATACACTTTCTAATAAATGTAACAGTTTCAATTGATCGTAACCATAAAGACGTCTTTTTTTGTCTGTGATCCGGCGTTTGGTAACTCCGGAAGGAGTTTATGGTAGATCACCATGTCCACTTTGCAAACTCTTATTTTTCCCTTTCTCGCAGATTTCGAAACGTCGCTCTAAAGCTTATCTGTATGTGTCGTAAGATAGAAGAAGATGAGGAAGACGAAGAGGAGATTGATGATTTGTCACAAGGAAGACAGTTGCGTCCCTCCGCTCTGATGCAGCGTAGCCTGCAAGAGGAACTGAGCCGTATACGACGCATGCGCCGCTATCAGCAGACTCGGGCAGAAGCGCGGCGCCTACGAATAAACGGGCCTTATATCTCAGTAGATATCCCAGCAGAAAATCTGGAAACGTCAGTTTAGGTAGTCTTTTTGACACAGAAGACTGTTCGACATGTGACCTAGATTTACATAAGTGTGCGACAGATGGGAATTCAAGTATTTTTGGCAAAATACTTCAAATAAACGTGCATCTCGAAACGCCTCATTTTGCTCTTTGCAAGCGACTTAGATGAAGCTAGTATAAAAATCAAGGACAGATTTAACTCATCGGGACGAAAAAACTTGAAAACTTAGAAACTACCTGTCACGAAACGAAGATGGCTTCTTTAGCTCCGTATTTTATTTTCTCAGTTTCTTTCCTTTTTTTATTTATGTTTTTTAGGCTTTACTTTTGAAAATTTCAAACTCGTAGTCATAATCACCAAAGTTTTAAAGGTCTATCAAAATGAAAGATCGAGTGGAAAGACTATACCTCGTAAAGTACAACCATGTAAAATTTAAGATGCTTCATGGTTTGGTGGCGACCCCACGAGATTAAAATCAAAGGTGTGGCAGTGTATGAAATGTCAACCTTATACTTCATCTTAACTTTAAACTTATCCTTTCCTTAAGACGCAACAGTTCTTCAAAGTACAATATACCAATTGCAATGGCATAACTGCAGATACTGGCTCTGCCTTTTGTGTGTATGGAAATTGGGCATACCTGTGTATATAGCTTGCATGGAGGGTTGGAGCACTGACGAGGTACCATTGGGGAAAAAAACTTGCTGAAGGCGTAGTTACTGCTCTCTTTATACCAAAGCTTTACTCGATCAGCCGGATTTTGAAGCTTTCTCCACTCTCGTGCAAGATTCTGCCCTGAAAAAAAGTGCAAAAAGACGGTTTAACATCTCGCAATGTTTCATGTTCGCATTCTTGTTACGCTATTTTTAGGCTACCCCCATGAAACAATGTACAAACTACTGGCCGCGTTACCACAACTATTGCTTTAAGTATGAAAAGAAGAACCTAACCTCCTTCGAACTTTTGCTCCAAATTCTGCGATAGAACGACAATCCTATTCTAGTGTAGTTAGATAGCGGATGCGATATGCTCGAACAAAAACGAAGCAGAATAAGCGATGCAACTATCTCAAAACTGTAACATAAAGTTGTGGACATTGATTGGAAAAATAAATGCGTCCAGCTGCGCAGAAGGAACAGAAATGTAAAGAAGAATATGAGAGAATCATTTCTAAAACTCTCTCCAACTAGAAGACCTGTTGTAAGAAAGATGGCGATGGTAGGAATGAGAATGTTTCATTCGAATGGAAAAGAAAACCATGTGACAAAATTATTCCGACTTAGTGAGCGATTGCGTTCGCAATATACTTCACCAATACACGACAAACACGACTACGTTTTTGTTCACTCTTATACTTCATTTATACACGACCAAACGACTACGTATTTGCTCGCACATACCAACTTGGCCTCGAAAAGGTGGATTAGGATACAGCTCTCCAAATTCCAGAAAACCGTGATCCCACGTACATTTGTTTGCCCACATTTGGGCAAGATTTCCTAAATCCTCATTCCAAAACTGCGAGAAAAGAAACAATAATGAGAATTAAAAAAAAAAAACAATAATAACACACGGCACGCTTACCCCGTCAGTTAACAGAAAAGTAGACTTAAGGCGTGAACTTTTCTTTTCTTTTTTTTTTTTTGTATTCTGACATTAACTTTGTTGGTGTAATGGCTCTCGAGACCTTCCCTTCCCCCCACCCCCGGGCAAACATTGCACCAACTTTACTGTAAAATAAGAGGAGACGAAGGACTACATAAGAGATTTTTCAAATGTATCGTTCAGGTAAGTGCACCAACACTTCATTTCCAAAACACCTGCAACCACATTTGCGAACTCGACTTTTGAATTCAGAAAGACTGCGATGTCCAGTTTTATATTTCATCTTAATATCCTACGGAATTGCCAGAAATGAACTCAGTCCTCGTTTCTTTCCTATAAACGCGACACACCCCACGTTAGTTGGAACAGGATCTTATAAACTGCAATTTAAAATCTCTCGGTGGGAGATATATACAAGTATTAGTAGTTTAAGCGATTAGCACGAAATGAAGGCTACCTGAAATCATATACAGGCGTACTCTGTGTATCCATTTGCGATGCGTGGCGTAAGTTATCACAGAAACGGGAAAGAACAAGGCCTCCTCTTACCATATACTCCATATTAGCGGCGGGCGGATTCACCAGACTCCGAAACTTGTTGTGTTCATCAACAAACTGCTGTTGCTGAATTTTACTAAGCCGGGAGATGGCGAACTCGATTGGCATCGGTTTTAGAGGACCCAGAGAGGCAACTGTGGTTACCATGACTAAAAAGAAAAAGAGCGTTTGCGCGCTACATTTTAGTAGTTGTTTATCCATTGGGGCGCGAAAAGCTGCCACAGAAGAAGGTAAAATTGCTAGTTTAACGCTGATTAGTTAAGCGGGTTCCATAATCTTCAGGTAAAAAGCATTAAATCAAAATGATAACCAGAAACTTGTGACAGTATTAGCAAATATTTCGCACCTTTAGTGACACGCCACCAACTTCGATTCGAACGTCAAACAAGCACCATTGACATGCTAAGGGTTTCGCGTCCCCAAGAATGACTTTTAAGGCAGATATGGTTATCCAGTCTACGTGTACTAATTCCTCTATTAAGCTATTGTTAAAATACAGGTAAATCTGTTTTTCAAGGAAACTGTTATTATGCGGACTGGGACACTAAACTTGAGTAATTTTGCGACCAAAAAGCTGCGTAAGCGAATACTTCAAAATTTCATTATGTTTTATATATATGTATATGTCTATATATATATATATATATATATATATATATATATATATATATATATATTTATATAAATGTAGATGATACACTTGGAACAACGAAACGCAAGAGGTGAACCACAAAGGTATTTATTAGCATTAGCACTCAAATTTCTTTTGAGGGATCCGCCATCAAAGAGCCTACACTTTGCCATTCTTGATTGTTTTGGCCATAGTTAACGAGTAACTTATGGATGCTTCGTTTACACTGCCATTGGATGGTATCCGATACCTCACATGATTTCCCTCATGCTCTGATTCTATATGTCCAGAAATGTCTGCATTAACGAAAATGGCGAAAATTAGTAAAAATCGTTAAATCCGCCAAGCTGCCGATTTCGCTTTGACGAATTGGACTAAAATTTGTCAGAATCGTCAATTTTGCCAAGCTGATTTCACTTTGACGAATTGGACTAAAACTCGCCAAAATCGTCAAATCCATGAACATTCACTCGGTTTGACGGAATTTCATAGAAATTTGCCATTTTTTTTATTACGTACATTTCTAGACCTAAGTGAATTCGCTCGTCTACCGGAAAAAAAAAACAAATTTGTTCGACTCAAAGCCTGTGGAAGACTTAAGCTTGATTTGACACCATTTACAAAGTTTCGATCTTATTTCTTGACAAACGATTGAAACTATTCAAAGTAGTTAACTCGATATATTTGATTATTATGCATTTAACTTACTATCTCCTCTCTGATTGGCCGAAAGCGTACAGTATTTCGAAATCAGCGTCTGGGATGTCATCTAACTGCAGATTATACAATAATCATGTCAAGGTCATTCATGGTCACGCGTAACCATGTTACGTAAACGTATGACCACGGTGCATGACATCGAAGGGTAATAATGTCAAGTTCGCGCTTTGTGTTGCTTGCCGTCAATGAAGAAGAAAAAACAGGACTTCTAGATTTGCTTCGTTGACTAAGTAGGACATCGGAAAAAAGTTTAATTTGGCTTTTTACAATCGTTATGTCTTCTTCAGTTAAACTTATTTGCTATTTACTTTCTCAGTCATGCAGCTCTTTTTCAATTTTTATAATATTGTCAAATGCTAAGACTTTTTTGTTAATCGAATTATGTGCCGCTGATTTGTGTATTTTTACAGGTCTTGAATTAAATAATCAGTTCCACTTACTGTGGTAACCATATTTTTTTTGTCTAATGTATAATAAAACAATTATTAGATTCGGTTTAATCAATTATTTATTTTCTATGCTAATGAGTTCGGTTTTGATTTGATGCTGTTTACAAACTTTCGATTTTTTTCTAGACAAACTATTGAAATTATTTAAAGTAATTAACTCGATACATTTGATTATATATGCTAATGAGTTAGGTTTCGTGTTTGTGTTAGAATGCACAATCACAGATGAGTGGTTGAACAATCAGATGTGAAGGACATTAAAAAAGGTAAGTAGCGCTGGTTTAACTCTAAGCTTCTTATATTAGCATCATTACAACAAATTATATGGGTGTAGATTCTTCTAAATGCCATCAGCTTCATTTAATGCTATGTAAGGGCGATCTTTAAGCGCATAACTTGGCGCATAACTTATGATAGTTTATAAGCTTCAATGGTTTTCAATCTCACACTCGTTTTGTCATTACAGTATGTGCCAGCGTAAAATCCCATACAATCCAGCACAACTATATTTATCTCTACTGTAGACGAGTATACAAAGTTTTTAAGATAACAAGAATAACCATCAGCAGTATCACAACATGCAAAAGTCAGAACACACGGGTAAAGAAGTTACTTACAGAGGAAAGCGAACGAGGAGAGTACGAGTTAAAACAACTAACATTGTGCAACAAAATAACAGACTGGCTGTTAAATTTATACAGCTATAACTAATGTGAGCCAACTTGGCTAAAGAACAGTGAATGGTAGACTTATCGGTAGAATATACGAATGCCATTGTTCGATGCAGCCAACCATGCTAAAGATTTCACGATAAAGAATTCTGTGGCCTGGAGGACCCCTTGTAAAGTGTTTCTTTGAATTTTTTTTAAACATCCCTCCGGGTGGGATAATCAAACAAACCTTTAATGGATGGTTCTCAGAGGCAGAGATGAAAAATGGGTAGCTGGATAATATACAGTGTAGTTACTCATAAACGGGAACTTTATGAACTGAAAGAGCAAGAACAAAGATAAAACTCCATTTTCTCGCACAGATTAGTTTTCTGTACATTGAGGCGGGACCTTGAAAATGTTCGCTAAGTACAACTTTCCATTTCAAAAGAAGTTCTTGCAAATTTCGCGGATTGTCAAGCTTTATTTCTAGGTCTGTCAATAATTATTGTTCGCTGCTTTTTTACTTTTTGAGCCACTTCTGTCTTGTGTACGCTGTAAAAAATTCGGGCAGATTCGGTCCGAATAACGAATTCACTACACGGCCAAGGCAGGTAAAAATTAACGCCAGAATAAAATGGAATGAACATACTTCTTATACTTTAGGAAGCTTCACCCTTGAGTCATAAAAGTAGCTTAAGTCATATCAAGCACAAAGCGATAATAAATTTTAAAACAACGGGATATCACAAGCATTAATCGAAAAACCTTTCAGAGAAAACAAAAACCGAACGAAAACGAGATAATGCACGTAAAAAAAGCCTCCATGTTTATAGTCGATAAGAGAGTCTATGTTATGTCGTCTTGTTTGTTTGCATCTACTGCTTTAAAAATAAACTTGCCTGAGGCTAGTCGATTTTCAGGGCTCCAGACAGGGAAAAGAAAGAATACCTTGTAAAGTTCAGATTTTTCGGTTGAAAACCCTACGTTATTTAAAAAGGAGACTAGTACAGGCTATCCAATAAAAAGGACATTGTTTAGACTACAACGCTACCAAAATTCAACGAATGACAATAGCCTGCAAATGAATAAAGTGGTAAGTTTTAAAGAAACCGTGGTGCTGCTTCGGAGGAATACAAGAAGACAGTTTGGTTTTATGAACTGAGTTAATAATGTAAATTGGCCACCGTAAAGAGTTTCCAAAGAAGACGTTTCGAGAGTTACGGCTGGCCTGTTGGCGCGTCTACGATTGTTCGCTAGATTCTCGATACCGAAGCTATAGCGTCACGAGATGAGATCTACAACAAGTTATGCCAAAAATGAAATAACGAATTTTCGTCAAGAATTTATGGCAACTGAAGAAAGGATCTGTTTTACATCTGATGTCATCTCTTGTCCAGCACTCTCTTACATGATGCGCAAAATTGAAAACCGGAATTGACCCTTGCCAAACTGCGAGCAAGTTATCTGGAAAAACAAAAACACAAGGAAACAAACCGCACACATATTCTAACTGGGCTCTCGTTGTTACATGCATGTTCTTGATGTCATATATCCCCTAGCAGTAGTCACAGTGATGGTTCAGATTTTCAAGTTTGACTTCTAAACGTACTTTTACTATACTGATAACAGAGTAATTAAGCATTATGAACTCAGTTGATAACACTAAATTACCCAGTTAGGGTAGGCTACTGACGCACCACTGCAGTTTCTTTAGAATCTTACTCCCTTTGTTCATTTTACCGATGACAGCTTTAGTTATTACGCTGAATACAAATCTTTTTTTAATAAAAGCAGCCGCTCATCTAATTCACATATCTCTCGTCGTTGACACTAGGTAGACAGCGTCTGTTTCTCAAAATCACTCATCCGTTACTAGTCTAAGTTATTTTACTCTCTTCCATTTCCTGAAGACAATACAATTGTTGAAAGAGTAAATAGTTGCTACGATAACAACGACATTGAACTGTCACCAACAACGTGATATCTACAAATTCTAGCCGCTGTTTTAGCCAGGAGGAGATCCATCATCGCAGAGAACAATTGAAGAAAGAAATGCTGCTCAGCATATTTCAATAAAACCCTATTTAGGGTCAAGTGGTCAGTTTATTCAAACTTGTGGGCCGGGAAAGATATCGGCGGCAAAACGCTGCAATTTTTTTGTTCATTTCCGCGGGCGTAACCACGGACTGAGAAAAAAGGTTAACGATTTGTAATATATGCTCGGCATGCAGCGTGTTTGTTTTAAAATACACACAGCAAGACTGTCTGGATTTTTTCAGCAAATTCGAATTAAATGTGGTTTGTGTTTCAATCCCAGACTCTTTATTTTTTAACGTATAACGCCCATATTCGTGCCTTTAGCATTAAAAACTTTCCACTAGTCCTTATGTCTGGTGCGCGTGATAAACACGAGTCAAATCGACACTCTTTAAGTCATGAACAGCTTTTAACTGAGGAAAAGTGCCAAAGGAAGATTACTCGTTAAAATATGATTAAGTACTTATTCAATGTTTCAAATGATATAGGCGCGCCCAGTTCCTGCCTTGTGCTTTAAAATTCATCCAAAGAGCACCATAGTGATATTTATGTCCCACCACAGTAGACAGCGCAAGGTTGGTTACACCAAGTTTTCTTTAATCGTAAAAAGGAAATTTTACAACGGTCAAAAAAACAATTGGCGCAAACTACGTGGTGACACTAATGCAATCATGACAGAAATGTTCCAAACGTGTTCACGAGATAACCTTGAGACAAAGGCGTTGACTTCCTGAACGTTCCAATCTCAAGCGGTAACCACTTAAATGGTGAAAACCAAGCTTTTTGTCATTTCAGCTTGAGAGTGCGGGTGACATTTTAATCTAATAACCTCACTGAACTTATTATGATGCCAAATTCTCGTTTCAGATTTCAACACTGCGGAGCGCCAAATTCAAAACTGTTCAAAAGTGACCATTGTTCCCCAGCGTATATAGGAGCGTGCTCCGCGACTAGTTCAGTTCCCATCGGCGATCGGCTCCATAGAGTACATCACTGCGAAAGCGTAATACAGCCACCCAGATCTCTACAGAAGTTCTCTACAATGGCCCACTTACCAGTTATAGTTTTTCTCTTTGTCTTGGAATGTATAGCCGCAAAATACGGTAGGTAGAGCGATGGTCTTTCCTAATTGATGTAAGATTGGGTTTCTGTGCACTGTATTACGCGCTCTTGCCGCCTTACTAAAAATTATAACGGTTCTGTGGTCGTACAAAAGTTCGAAGTTCCTCTTCATCACTGACTGAAATGTTCTCTTTTCAATACTAATTTATAATTTCTTAACGAAGAGAGCACCAAATCTGTCAATTCTGAAGCGATCAATTCCATCCGCAGTTGATTTTGAGATTACAGTACTTCAAAAATTTTCCGTTGAGCGCGCGCCCAAAACATCATTGATCTTGTATTAAACATGCTGTGGCGAAAATTATCATTCATGAAACAGAAGAGAACGTCATGGAAAGGTTATATTTTACTCTCGTTTACTACTGCCAAGGCGTTAGATTTTTAATTGTTATCATTATTTTAGCTTTATGACATCTTTTTATTCGTTAAAGAGTATTGGGTGATAATGGTTGGAATCTTTCATTAATCAAATTTGTCTATTTAAAGACTCTCCGGAAATTGCGCGTAAACGGCTTATACCTTGAAAAAGCAAACAGAAACCACCGAAATCAAAGACATAAAGTTCTTACAATACCTTACTAAGATGCAGGCACGATTTCAAGTCCTTCCTTCCATGAACGCACAAACTGGAAATAAAAAAGACGAAGGGGCAAACAACTCCTTAAATACAGTAAAGGAAATATTTTTGTTGAGGTAGACTGTTAAATAACAATAATTGCTTTCTAACGTATTTACACTGAAGGAGTCTATTCGATTGTTTTCACTCTTAAGCTCGAGGTGACAACCTGCAAAGAGGCTAAAGATCTACTTCGTTAGTCATCCTCCTATTACGGCCCGCTTGGCACACAGGGATAAAATAACTTGTACAACTAATCTTTTTAAAGAAAATTCTGAAAATGCAAATTGTGGCTAGGGAAGGCGTTGTTTTCCAAGACTGTACTTAGATTCCTAAGATTGAATTCGTCGGTAGAATTTCGGTCAACGTTAACGGGAAAAGTAGAACTATATTTAATTTCAGAAATACATCAACGACCCTGAATTCGATGAATGTGTCGTGCCCACATACTTTTGTGGGTCGGAAACGTGACAGGACCACAATAAATAGTTCGGATGGCAGTGCGGTCTCATAACGCAGTTTCGTAAAGATGAATCACTTTTGTTTGAGCCGTCACGATTTTCTTTGGTTTACGTTGATGGATTGTTCATTTTTTTCAATCCTTGCATAGTTATTTAACTATGGGTTGAGACCCACCCTAAATGCGCCATTCACGCTTCGTGGGTCTTCGTTAATTCGTGGCTGTCAATAAGATTATTTTAAAAATGACCTCGATCACTGCTTAATAATGACCGTAAAACGAACGCTTGTTTGCGGTTAGGTCATGAAGACATCTGTTCTTTAATGACCATCATTAGGCGACAAAGCTTGTCGTGTACGCCAAGTCACGCAACTAAAACCAAAACTCCAGAGTAACGCTAATTATAGCTAAGGAAGATCTGTCTATTATTGTCGTCTCTGTCTATAAGGCGACAAAGCTTGTCGCGTGCGCAAGTCACGCCACTAAAACCGAGAATCCAAAGTAACGCAACCTACAGATAAGGAGGATCTGTCCATTATTGTCACTCTGTCTTTAAACTAAAATTGTTCCAGCGACGACTTACCCTTCCTGAAGCTGAAGTAAAGTCCTTGACGTTCACGAGTAGAAATAAAGGGAGATACCTTAAGGAAAAGGGAGGAAAAGTGACTGAATACTTGAAGTGGCACCAATTAATTACCCGACATCGTGGAAAGAAGGGTGGGAAGCTAGTCACTTAAGGACGCCCTCACAGAGATTTAAATATATTTTCGCTGCAGTTTTACCAGATGTTCCATGGTATGCACACGACATTCCCCAGACGGAATTTGGTGAGGGCGAAGTGTTCCCATCTGCCAACTCAGAAAAGCTTATAACAGCGCAAACATCGATGGCTGAGATAAAACGATTGTTCGAAAGTGTAGAGCAGATGTCTGTCCGATCGGACGAGTCTACAGATGAATCTGAGGGTCCAAGGGCTTGGTACAAACCACAGCAGGACGAGACACTTCATGATGAAAGGAGTAAGTTGGAAAACAATTCATTTAAACGTGAAAAATCCGTAGGCGTTGTTAAATGCAAAATGACCAAACTTGATTTCAGAGGTATGCTAAACGCTTTTGTGGGAAAAATGCATCGAGCCTGTTCTCTCCCGTACGTCGGCTCATCACCCTAATCGCGCTTAATTTTTTGATTACAATAAGGATATATTTTAGGGCTCAAGCTTGCCCAGATGCAATTCCCTTAAAAAATGTCCTTGCTTAAATACCTTCACTATTTTCCGATGTTTTGAATAAGTTCTTCGACAATTGGTTTAATTTTTCTGGCCACATGGCCAAATGAACTACTCCACAGCTCCACCCCACGC